CTGCTGAATTGTTGGTACCGAAATCTCCGGACTATTTAGTGTACCTGAATATAAGCCGCACCCAATAAATTTAAAAAAGTAAAAAATGATTGTACATGTATTGGCCACACTTCTCTATAAGCTGCAGATAAAAAAAGATACTTTTGTCTGAAACATATATGTACATACATATACTTACGCTGGGGTTCTGTTTTTATTTGTTCTATCTCAATTTTTTTCTCTAGGTCAGAACTCACATACTGTAACACAATAGAAACATCAAAATCCTGGACATATAAACATAAGAAGAGTCTGACTTGGGAGCCATAATGAAGGGCATAAGTTACCAAAAAAACCCACACAAACGAAGAAAAGTGAATGTAGGACAATCCAGTGTATAGTATGGCGTACAACCGGCAAATGCTACCAAAGGCCTTTTTGGCATGTATTTGTCTGCCTTGCTTGCCAATTACTTCCAGTACAAACTATTTGGGGAGTTTTATCGCATTACATCAGAATAATGGAACACGACTTACTTAATAAATGTATGGGAGACGGAGAACATCTGTGAAAGTAGGAACCATATTGTTGCATTTTTAACCTGTTCTGTCCAGCAGTTTGGGCAAACAATGACAGGTCTGGATGCCCTTATATTGAGTCAGATTTGTGTTACAAAAAGTGTCAGTGACCATTACACAAGAGAGCAGAATCTGATAGGGCCACTGACTCCAGGGACTAGGCCCCCACCGGTCTAAAAATCCCCTCCCTAACAGAGCACATCATCACCTCTGACCCCACTCTCCACCCCACTACCTTGGAGCTACCTGACACATGGATGAATGGATGATGGATGGATAGAAAGATAGATGGATGGATGAATGGATGGTTGGATGGATAGCTAGATAGATGATGGATGGATGTTGGATGAATGATGGATGAATAGATAGTTAGATAGTAAGATAATGGATGGATGAATGGTTGGATGAATGGATGGTTGGATAAATGGATCGTTAGATGGATGGATGGATGAAAGGATAGATAGTTAGATGAATCGATGGATGGATGGATGAACGGTTGGATGGATGAATGGATAGACAGACGAAGGATTGGATTGATTGATGGCTGGCTGGATTAAAGTGTAGAAAAACAACATTATTAAAGATATACAGGAAGACCCAGCATTAAACAACCATAATCCCTGTTTCACTCTGGTGTAAGATCGCTTTTGATTTGTGAGTATAGCCTACTAAAATCATAGGAGTATCCTGACATTACTTAGATTTAGACTTCAAATGCCAACTTTGACTACAACTTATTTTCCTAAAATACATTTGTTGAGACTGACAGATAACCAGCGTTTTACAGATGTTTAAATCTGATTGTGTGTGATACAGTGTGGAAGACATTTGTCATCACAGGCATAAATAATAAAAGAAAAAACTGTTTTGGAACAGGTGCTAGAATCAGTGAGCAGTCTGTTCTCATTGTCAGGTAAAAGGAGGCTTCTTTTGTTGAATGACTCAAAAAGGCTCTAAATCACTGACGTCGAACGATTTCTCGATGCTGTATTTGTCAAGCTGATGTCGGCTCAGATGAGAGAGTGCGTAGCATAATAGCGAAACTGGTGATATAAAAAGGATGGAGTGGCCAAGTGCTCAATCAGCTCCACGTACATTACATCCAGGACTTCTTTAGGCACACGCAAGATAGATGTTGGACAAAAATACATTCTTGGGGCACTCAAGCAGAATGGAGGCCCTGTGTGAAAAATAATGGTGTGTAGAAGAACATTCTGAACTTTAAACTAGTGACATGCATCTCTGAAAATGAAGTTATCATCATGAATTTTACAAATTATAATGCAGTAAATGGCTTGAAATGTTGTTTATTTTTACTCATTTGATACGATTGAAATATTTTAGTTCAGTTAAAAAAAGGTTAAATGCTAACCCTTTCATTCACACACAAACACTCCAAAAGGTTAAATGCTAACACTCAGGGTCAGAGCTCTTTTAGTATATGGGTGTTTGTTAGAAATAAAATATTAATTTTTTTTAATGACAATTGTATTGCTGCTGTCTGTGGGTGGTAAATGGTAAAACACATTTGTGAGATCTGTTTAATGATTTACATGCAATTAGCTGTTGTTTTCTGTGAATCTAATGTGAGAAATGTAGTCAATGTTTCCCAACAATAAGTAAGAAGTAGATTTAAGGCTTTACTCAGTACCTGGATATAAGAAACGTATACGATTAAAAACACCTATTGTGTTACTGGTATTTTACTGGTATGACATTTTTTGTAAACTCCTGAGAAACATGATGTGAGACGACCCAAAAAAAAAAAAACTCTTGCGACCAACCTGAGGGGCGCGACCCGTCATTTGGGAAATAATGCTCTACATCAGTGGTTCCCAACCTTTTTTGTACCAAGGACCGGTCGGCCGGTATCAGCCGTAACTGCGGACCGGTAATATGGGGCCATCATTGAAGGATCATTACATTTTCAAAATAAAACATCTTTCAGAGTCTGAATGACCGACTGTTTGGAAACATTGCCAGATTATCTTAAAATGAAAAAAGTAAAGAGATATCACTGGATACGTTTTGAATGAAATCAGTTAGTAAAACTGAAGTACATTTTTTCACTTGTGTCCCACTGTGGCCCAGTACCAAATCATCTAGGGACTGGCACCGGATTGGGGGACATTTGGGGAAATTTTGTAATTTGCATTAGTGCCACTGATCCATCATGAGCTTGAGCAAAACAAAGGAAGAACTTGATCTTTTTTTATTATTATAATTATTGTTTAAAATCATTTTAATGGTTGGTTTGTAGTGATGAGAGTGGACAGTGCCGATTCCCACCTGTCATTAGGAAGGCTCCCAGTTCGATTCCACTTAGTTTCCAGTTCTATTTTTCCTTAGGTTAGAAAATGGTCGCGATGGACTACAATATGGGCCGTGGCACGTTTATGGCCAATTCTGTCATGGAAATCCTTTGTGCTATTGCTATAAGTTAAGGTTTTATTGTGGCAATATTTGTGAAAATGTTAGAGGGTGGTTCAGCAATCACATTTTTTCTCTTCTAGTATTTTGTCCAGAGTGACATTAAAACAAAGAATTACAGACGACAGTCCTTTCATTCACACACAAACACTCCAAAACCCTGGTATGATAATGATAACATATTGATTTAAGCACAATATTCTGCACAAAATGTGTCAGTAAATATTTCAGCAAATCAATAATCACATAAAATGTTAACATCACAGGAGTCTAGAGACCATTAAGGGTATTTCTCAAAGAACTGAATTTTCTACAGGATTGATTTGGTATTCAGCAGTAGCTGTTAATAAAAGTAAAACTAAAAATATATATACACCTAAACCAATACAAGTGCATGTTTACAGCTTTATCTCAGACTGCAGTTTGTTAAGTGCTAAATTTCCCTGCACTAAATTCCTGTGACAGGGTAATCCTGTTACTAACAGCGTGTTACACACACACACACACTGAGGAGAACATGCAAACACACAGATATGTCACAACACTGCTCCGTGGATTCACAAGTGTTGTGCTAGCAAACATCTGCACCACTTAGGCGGAGATAGGTATTTCTATATGCATGAAGAATGCAATAAATAACTATGCATAATGAACCTTAAACATAAACATTGCTAAAAAAAATGTACTTCGAGAACTCCCTGTGCTCACTACTTAGTCTGTTATGGCAATAAATACGTATGTGCGAGTCGAAGAGAAGAGGTCAAAATCACCAACGCAAAAACATGTGATGATTGAGCCAAAAAGTTACCAAGAGAGGAGGGGAACGATCTGGTACTGAATCTGTGACGAGCAGGTTTTATAGACGCTGTGCAAATCACAGCCAACCAATCAGCCTCGATTCAGTGTCGGTGAATCTGTCTGTCTGCAAATACAAACAGGAAAAACACCACGACAAACCCACAGTGACAACCAACAAACTTCTCCAACAACTACAGTATATACAAAGTTCATGTTTGACCAGAACCCTGACCATTTATTTTATGGTGAAAATTAACATAAGGTCTTGTCCAAATTCCACTGAATGATTCCACTTTTGGATTCATTTCTGTTACTGTATTTTCCAGACTATAAGTTGCTCTGGAGTATAAGTTGCACCAGCCCAAGAAATACATAATGAAGAAGAAAAAAACATATATATGTCTCACCGGAATATAAGTCACAACAGGTAAAGGATGAAAAACGTGAGACTTACGAGTAGCAGATACGGGTACAGAAGACTAGAGCACCCTCTAGCTGCTGTCAGTGTGAAAATAATGAACATGTACACTACATTTTCAGTTGTACAGGAGTGGCAGATACTGAAATGATATATTTTAATATATAAGTCACACCTGAGTATAAGTCGCAAACCCAGCCAAAGGATGAAAAAAGTGCAACTTATAGTCTGGAAAATAGGTCATATTAAAAGATAATGTAACTATAGGGCAGCTCCTGTAATTCTTCTCTAAGGAAAGAGGATGTACTGTATTCAATATAACAATATAAGTCTTCAATATAAAACATTGCATTATTCCTCCTCTCCAAAATAATTATCCTGTCAAGGTGTCAAAAAATAATGATGTAAAAATATGATTTTACCCTACATTACTATAACCTCCTGTAATGAGTGATTAATGGTGTTTTAGCGATGTTGAAGATACATATGTTCAATATGTTTGACCCAAACAGGTTCCAGCGAAGCACAGCTATGGCATGCTGTTTTGCTCCTGTCCACTCAGCGACCAGACAGCTTGCTCTGAGCGGAGGCGTCAGACCATTGTCCCCGTCTGCTCCTACGAAGAGAAGCAGAAGCCCAACTGTCTTGAGCTGCAGGCCTCCTGTAAGACCAACTATGTCTGCAGGTAGGAGACAACTTACATGTAATGTCAAAGAGTTGTTTTTTTTTTTTTTCAATCTGTAGAAACAATTTTAAATGTGGTGTGATCACACTAAAGACAAGACTGGCTAAAATATTAAAGCTACAAGACAGCAACTCCTCTCCTTGTGGATATCAAAATTAATTTATGACAGGTTCAATTTTTGGCAGCATTTCTTTAAAATATTTTTTATTGTCTTTTGAAAGAATGTCACTGTTACACAATAAAGAAAGGGATGACTCAAAAAAGGATAGAAGATTTTGCAACATCTTGCAAGTAAAAAATGATTTTATATTGTATTATAGGCAATACTGTTTCTCCATCACAAACAAAAATATTTTTTGGTCAGCTACACCAATACGTAACATGGTGGTTCTTAATTATTTTCTGTCATGCCCCCCTAGGGAACAGATATTTTTTCACACCTCTTCCATTGAGAACCTGATAATATGTATTTTTCTGTATATCTGTAAGAACCACTGTATGAGTTGCTGCCACCTAGTGACTGGAGGCTTGCTTATCGTTCAATCATTACAGCAGTGGTACACATGCCAAATGTTATTGGAAGCCCCTTGTGCCCAAACCCTCCCGTCCCCACAGCACCTCACCACGCTCCCACAGGGGGGCCCGCCCCACTACCAGCACCTCACCACGTTCCCACAGCGGGGCCCGCCCCACTATTTGAGAAGTGCTAGCTTCACAGGCATTGCGGAAAGGAATGCGATTTGTTTGACCTCAGATTTAGTTTATCTAAGGTAGGAGAAGGTGGTGTGTGTATGAATTTTACTTCAGCTTACCACAGAAGCCAAGGGACAGGTATGCAGACCGGAGAGTAAAAGTGGAGTTTCTGTGTGCCAGGGAAAATTGCATGCCACTTGTAGGTTTATCTCAAGATACCATCATAGAACTCGCCAGAGCTGGGTTTGTTATTATAAAGCAAAAAAAAAGTGCTGCACCCACAGTTTGATATTTCATGTTTCTCTGCTGGGATTTACAGTAACCGTGGTTGATGGAAGATTCAGTCAGACCTGTGGCATGGAAGTCTGTTTTACTAACTTTGTTGAACCTTTGAAGCCTTCCCAAAAACATTGCTCTAGTCATTAATATGGACAGCATCGAACAACAAACCAAACCCTAATAGCAAATAAATATTTATATGTAAAATCAGTTTGAATAAAAATCTTGGGGACGCACATAAGTAGTACCTACCAAGTAAAGTCAGTCGTTGATTAGTATTTTATTTTCTTAAATAAATGCTGCTTCATCCTTAAGAGATGGAGACAGAGAGAGAAAAAGAGAGAGAGAGAGGAAGAGAAAGTGCTTGCATGCATGTGTCAGCATTCCCATACCTCTTTAGGATTAAATGAAAGCATTAGGCACCATAAATGAAATCCATTTGGCTGGTGGCCTCATATCTCTCTCATATACTGAACAACAGGTCTCTGGGCTGTGCCGCCTCCCAGAAGTCAATTTTTCAGTTATCACAGACAGCATTTCCACTGGCTGCCTCGCCATATGTCAAGCTGCAGTATACAAGCTGCTGTCGACGACTCTCAATTGGCTCTGCTCCGCAGCATATTGCTGTGATTAGACACATCACGCTGTCAGTGCATGGACTCGAGAATGTCTGTTTCGAGTCCTTCTGGCAACTGTGAGCTAAACATACATTAGCGCTACCTCTCAATGGGATTTTGATTCACTTGCAGAAAACGAATTGCTAAATATACTTCTTTTCCACTCCGTCAGATGTAGTGTTCTCTGTCATCAATAAACATTGAGCTTAAGCGAATATTTACAGTGCACGCTATTAGTGTGATTATGGACTACTGGATGTTACTTAGCAAAATCAGCAGAGAGGATACATTTTACCCAAGGACACACTGGTAGCTAGTCTAGTAGCGCTGATGACCACAACTTACCTTTGGTACTAAATTACTTAATACCAGTGGTTCTCAAACATTGAGAGCACGCCACTCGTGGTACTAACATAGGCTGTGTCTTGTTATAGGCAGGGGATTTTAATTTCTACTTCAACAACACCCAGAAACAGATGTTGTTTATTTTCACATGCTGTGTGTGTGGTGTCAGTCTTAAATGACTGTTGTACTGCATCATTATCCAAAGTGGCTTTGATTAACTAATAGACTAAAATATTAATATATTTTAGCCTGTTATATATACAGTACAGGCATACACATATATGTGTATATATATATATATATAAATGTGTGTACATATACATACATATATTTTGGGCAGAAAAAATATATATATGTATGTGTGTTTATTAGGCTGTTCAATATACTGTAGGTCTTGGTTAGGCATACGCTATGAAATGGGACCATGCATTATTTGATATGTATTTTATCAACTTCTGACAATGCACTCAGAGCTCAATGGATCTGAGATGGCAGGAATACGACCGCAGCATGCAGTAATACATGCTGCCTGAAAATATTCTTTAATATATATATATATATATAAATATATTAAATTAATTAATTAATTAATTAATATAAAGGATATTTAAATATTCTTTAGAGCAGTGGTAGCTTAGCGCTTAAAGAAGCAGACTTGGGTCCGGAAGGTTTCAGGTTCGAGTCCACCAGTTGCCAAGACATCGACCACAGCAAAGACATTAGCAATTTCGCAAGCCATAGCAAAGCTCTTCGCCACACTAAACCCGAGGAGAACACCCCGCGAATGAGCAAGTCTGTGACCGACAGACTGGCGAATGTTCTAGCCAAATGGATTGCGATGAACTGCAGGCCGATAAACATAGTGGAAAACGACGGGTGTTGTGAACCTCGTCCAATGACCCATCATACGACTACAGTGACGACAACAAGATGTACGACGGCGAAAAGAAAAACAAACTTGAGAAAAGAACAGCTTTCCTTCATGATGGAGAGAACTAAAGGTTGCAGGTAGCACTTGAGACTAGTCTCAAATACAGTGGAATGTAAATGGCTACGACTGCATCTGTTCAAGTCTGTTAAAAACAATAAATTACTTTATAAAGCCATTTTGTTTTGTTATATTTCAATCTTTTGATCTGCCACAATAATGTAATGAATTTAAATGAAAATACCTCAAGT